GTCGCTCTGGCTGCAGTAACCGCTGCTCGCGCTGCTGCCCCACGTCATGTCAAACCACTCGCAGTCCGTCATTTTCACACTAAAAACCAAGCGAAACCGCAACAGTACTGGAGTTTCCTCTGTTCCGCGGTTTCTGACCGGGATGATGTGGCTCTCTGACGGACCTCGTGCAACCGGGAAGAAACCGTTATTGGGCGTGATTTGAAACCCCACCTTTCCGCTTAAACCTCGCCCTCCTCTAGTCGAATTTAGTGCGCAGGCTCCGCCCTCCATTCAATCCTGACCCCTCCCCCGAGCCCAGCAGAACAATACATGCCATACATACTGATTTCTGAAACACAATAAATGCATATTTAATGTCGCTTTCAGTATTTTGGGTTGGAAAAAATACAAATATAATTACATATACACATAATAGTATAATAATTATAAAATGATTACATTAGAAATATTAATAACTACATTTATAAACCACCATAAACACCATAAGCAAATAATAGCAAGTGAGAATATCCATTTTAAATCATTCATACTATTATATACATTCACTATGATAAAATAAAACATTACAAAAAGTTAATTAAATATGCATTTAAATAAGATCATTCTAAATAGTAATATAAAGTTCATTTTTAAAATATCACTATTCATGTAATACAAAATATTCTATTACAAACATAAAACATACATTAATAAAATAGGAATGATTATTTTTTTGGTTTATAGCTTTAAAAATGTTATGTAATAATGTTATGTATATGTATATAAAGTGTAACTATTGTGTATTATCACACTTGTCATTATAATGTAAGCACCATTGAAAAACTATTTAGTTATACATGTAAATTATATTAGGTATAATAATAATTTGTCACTATTACTAAACTGCCAAACAAAAACAAACTGTATATATGTATATATATATATATATATATATATATATATATATATATATATATATATATATATATATATATATATATATATATATATATATATGAATTAAAATACAAATATGTTATGATACAAAAGCTGTTCCCTGCAGTGCACAATGGACTTCAGCGTCTCTGGAGATTATATACATATATAAATGTTTCATATGATCTGCGCTGGGCAACATCATGTGTACCTAAAAGGATTAGATGTATCAGAAAGGCTGACATGTACATGTGAAATGACCAGATTGAGAGTTTAAGATGATTTGAACATTTGTAATCAAGTAAAAGCTCCATTATGAAGGGCCATTGACTTGTGATTAGTTCATTTAGCCATCTGTCAGCCCGTCCATCTCCCCCAGATCACTTTCACTTGATCAAACCCTCACTCAATTATAGGGACATCAATGGCAGATCCTCTTTCATTATGAGCTTCAACGACTGCTGTTTATACACTAAAATAAACAATCCATGCATCTCCCAGTACATGAATTTAGTTCGAAAATATGCTTTTATTTTAATGTCTTAACATTTGTAGGCTTAAATTAAAAAGTGAGCAGCTGTTTTATTGTGTGGTTGCCAGGCAACCTCTCCTCCAAGGCTCTGTCGTAAATTGTGAACGGTAATAAAATCAGTGCTGGTGGCATATGGCTGCTGAACTGAATCGTACAACCTCCTCTCTGATTAACATCATGGCTATCTGTCCTTTCCAGTGCTTGTTTTCTCACCACATTGGTGTCTGTCTCGATGGTGTCCTCGCTGTAGTTTGATTGTTCGCAGATAGTGTCGGTGTTGGAGCTGCAGTCCAGCTGAATGAAGGGTTGACAGCGGTAGTGACAAGTGTAGTTACAGTCTGAGGAGACACAAAGCAAAAGCACAAGAACAGTGTTCAAGACAGTTCTTTATTTTTACAGATGGAGATCAAAGCTCTGTTGTTTTAGGTCATAAATTGAGTGTATGACAGAGACCAGGGCACAATGAATTATTCTATAGCGCCACCTGCTGGTGATAATGAATAATCATGGGTTCTGTTTGTCTCAGGTCTGATAATCTGGGCATTTTAAAGGCACAATATGTAGTTTTCACCGCTAGAGAGTGTGGAATCATGGGAGTTGTGGTCTTCAGCTGCATATTGTGTGCGAGCGCTGCTGTTGATATTGTTATAATTGTAATATTAGCAGAAACTGCTAAACAATAAAGAATGAACAGACAGAGAGCATTTGCTTTAAAGAGTGAAAGGTGTACCATCATCTCCATAGTCATCTTGACCAGTGGTCCCCAACCTTTTTATCGCCGCGGACTGATCAACGATTGACAATTTTACTGCGGACCGGGGGATGGGGGTTTTCGTAAATTGCTAGGCGACCAACAACTGTTTTCTCAGAGGATAACATTGCAGCAACTCTGATACAAGTTTTATTACCAAATTAAAATTACAAAGCACTGCGGTGTCTAGGTGTTCTGTGTTTGTCTGAGATAATTTGTCTACCAAAATGTGTATATCCATGCATGGTATAAAGCCGATTGGTCAGTTCTTGTCTCGTGACTCGCGATGCATTGACGGCATTCATTCAACTGGGTGCGTCTGAAAGGTGAGAGCAGGGCACCTCAATTGGAAAAAACGAAATTGCGTAAACTCTCAAAAAGACGCAATATGCGAAAGACCCCCAAAAGGCTACCATCTTTTGAGAAAGCCAGCTATTGATCTTCTTGTACAGACATGCTGGATTTACCTGATTTGTTGACAAATGGGTTGCGTATCTATTCCTTGGCAGTTTGTGGGTCCTTCACTGGGCCATTTCTCTTCCCAAAGAAACTTTCCAAAGATGTCTGTTTCTGACTCATTTTGCTGCTTGTGGGTTAAGTTTACCCAGCTAACTCAAGTGACTGAGATAATACGGTCAGTTTTCTAAATGTAATATTTTCAAAATAAAAGATGGTTCAGGTAATAAATAAAACTGAAATAATTAATGATTTCTTGCGCAGCCAATTGAATACTGTGGACCGGTGGTTGAGGACCACTGATCTTGACAACAGAAACACTAATGTCACCTCAATGAAAGCCTCATCTCTGCTTTCATTTGATTGGATGATATAAAAAGACGTGATTGATGTAGCATGATTTTTTCGCTCAGATTTCACTTTTTTTTAACTGCAGGCGTACAGATCGCAACAGCAAAAAAGCAAGGCGTATCAGGCGGTGTGGTTTTTGGATAATTCAATGAAAAAAGTCATACTGTGTTTATTTTCAAACCTTGATTAAGTTGTTGAGGTAGCCTTGGTGGTTGATATGGCATTGTAGGCTGTTTTTAGGGAACTCTTGGTAGTTGCCAAGCTTGCAGATTTAAGGTAGCCGTGTGGTTGTGAACTTGATGGTTGTTAAGGTGTTCTTAATCATTATAAAGGCCAAACAGAATCCACATTCTGTTTTTGCAATTTTTGCACAGAATTAAAAAAAATTGTGGATTTAGGTGTAATGGAATTTGAGAGTAGAGTAACTAAAAACATAATATGCGAAATAAAAAATATTAACTTTTTAATTTTATTTAGAGTTTATGATGCAAATCTAATTAAGTCTCTCATAAAATGTCTACTAAAAGACAGAAAATATCACTTCACAAACTACACTCTACATAAATCATCTAAACATCTGCATATTATTTAATAATATTACAGAAATTATTATAAAAGCTGACTGTATACATATTTACACACATTTACATAGGTAAATAAATATACTCAACAGAGAAATGACAGGCTAAAAAATCTGCAGAGATCTGTAAGTGCAGACTGTCTGGGTTCTATGTGGTTACTATTCTATATGGTTGTAAATGTGTTTTGGGTGGTTGCTAAGCAAATATTTAATTAGTTATGAGGTCATGCATTTTTTTTTTCATTTGCTCTTCTCATTCTATCCTATTTATAGTATTTATTTATTTTTGTTATTATTTATTTGCAAGGCTTTCATGAATAACTGTGCACAAAGTTCAACGACTGATTCGATTTCTCAACAAACAACCAGTATTTACAACACACACCCACACAATCTCCCCTTAACACACGGCACAGTGTAAACTGTCTGTTTCCCTGAGTAAACATCCTCTCTCTGATGTGCTTGTGGTCTCTGAGTGCCGGCTGGTCTTGACAGACTCATATAGACCCAAGTAGGTATCACTGCAGCTGGAAGACCTTCAAGTAGGAGGGATTTACGCTGCAGGTAGGCTGGGTTTAAAATTGGCGTAGGTGTAGTAGACGTTAATAAATCACAACAGGTTACTGTGAGGTTGGGTTATGGGTTGGTGAAAGTGTAGTAGACATCAATAAAACACAACCGGTTACTGTGAGGTTGGGTTAAGGGTTGGTGAAGGTGTAGTAGACGTTAATAAAACACTACAGGTTACTGTGAGGTTGGGTTAAGGGTTGGTGAAGGTGTAGTAGAAGTTAATAAAACACTACAGGTTACTGTGAGGTTGGGTTAAGGGTTGATGTAGGTGTCGTGGACGTTAATAAAACACAACAGGTTACTGTGAGGTTGGGTTTAGGGTTGATGAAGGTGTAGTGGACGTTAATATAACACAACAGGTTACTGTGAGGTTGGCTTTAAGGTTGAGGTAGGTGTAGACATAAACACAATAGTTTGGACTATTAAATAAATGTGTTTTTCAAAGCCCACTTGGAGCTGACTCTAACCTGTTTATACCCTTCTCATCTAGGAAGGTCTCTGAAGAATGGGTGACTCACGTGTGCAGCGGAGGCTCTGTCTGTACAGGCCCCAGATGAACTCTCCACACAGGTCACACCAGCTCAGCTGTGTCTGGCTGCAGGGCTGAAAGTCATGTCCTCGTCCTGGTTTACACGTCAGCCAATCGGGGTCCTCCAGGCGCACGCGCTCGCCCACCATGCGCACCACCTTCCCTCTGCTCCACCTGTCCAGAGTGGGCACCACGGTGGGTGGAGGGACACTAGGGGGTGCCAGCTCAATACGGTCATTCGGAGTCAAGTCCTGCAACTCGATGAGCTCACATTTTGCCATTTTGGGATCGTGGGAGGATGAACGGCATGGCTCAGTGGACCATGGTTAGGGCTGGAGATGATTTATGACTGTGGAGTGTTTTAAAGCAACGCTGTTTACTCCAAAGCAAGCTGATAAATTTAGCGTCTCGTTCTGATGTGTTTGCATATCCACAAACATGGATCACTGTGTGGATCTGACAGTCTTCATATAACAGAGATGATGTTTTTATTGCTTCAAGAGTTTCCTTCTTGATTGACAGTTTTCAGTAGCATCTGGGTCAATCTGAGAAAAATCAGAGATTACATTAGATTATGGTGTGTTCTGTATGATTACAACAAATGTGGACAGTTATAATCTTTCTGCTCTTCAGCAGATTCCATTAATGCAGTTTACTACTATATATTAAACTTACATTATATTTATTATAAATATTATATATTATTTTATAATTAATATTATAATGCATTTGTTTCTATTTTTACTAGAACAGAGACCCTTGATATTTGTAAAGCCAAATGAAATATTTAGTCTATACAGGGTAACCTCTTCTTCAAACATCCAACACAAAGTCCACAGACTACAGATTTACATTCCAGTGAGCTTGTGCAAACCGATCTGTCCTTTACAACAGCACCTATATGGGAGCTGATCAGTATGCGTGAGAAGCAAAATTCACTCAAGGGTGTTTTGGGCCGTTTCTGTTGTAGGGCACCTCTTTTGGCCACTGTCCTAATCCTGAGAAACCCAAAGGCCCAAACATGCCAGAATAGAAAAAAGATGTAAACTGGGTCACATAAACACAGCAAATAAATACACACATAATATATAAAATATACAAATAAACACAGTGAAAATCAGAAACTGAATAGAGTTTGCCCCTTTAAGATTAATTGTTCATCATAACTCTTTATTAATAAGAGATCAATGAAGTAATGTCAATGCAGAGCATAATGAAATAGATTAAAAATTGAATACAATAGAGGAGAACAGAATAGCCTGACAGATTAATTGTGAAAATATATGTGATTTTGACTCTGGTAAATAATTCTGAACAATAAGTTATTTTAATAATAAATAATTATTAATAAATAGTTTCACAAACATATGTATAATAAATAATAAATACATGCATATTCAAATTTGTAAATGTATACCTAATAAATAAAGTGATTCAGTGTTTTATCCAAACTAAATAATTACCAGTAAACCTATTATTAGGCCTAGATGTTACAGCACATAGAACATCAATGCATAAACATACAAAACAACAGAATTATACACACAAAATAATATGAAACATAAAAGAATTAAATCATATTTTAACAATAGCAAACGCATAAATAAAAACATTGATGTGAAAATGTAGTGTTGATTATGTAAAACAAAGAGTAAACATTTATAGGTGGATTGAATGATTATAGACATAGAATAATTAAGTAGCAAATGAAATATAAAATATCACAATCTTTAGAAAGTACAGTTTATATAGTATAAATTGTTGGATAAAGTCAGATCATAGTTTTACTTACTGGTATAGGAATGTCTTATTATAGATGAACCAACCTACCTTAAACCCAAACAAGCCACTTTCAGTCTTCAGTAGAGCCTCGACTGACAGTAAACGCGTCTGTTTCCTCAAATCCGCTCAAATTAAGCGTAATCTGCGCGCGCGACGCGTGTCTGTGAGGCGATAACATGAGGGATTGCGCAAAAGTGCCCAAACATCTTCCATTACGCTCAAAACTAAACTGAAAACAGTCCTCCGCTGGCAGAAAGATGAATTCCTCAAGGTTTCGGTACTCCGTGGGCTTCATTCGCGTTGTCGCTGCTCGAAACCGGCTCGGTTCGTTTCTTCTTCGAACGCGCACCTTGTCCGCTTGTAGCGCGCGTTCATGCGCATGCGCAGAAGACTCAGATTAACGCTTAATCCGGCGCGATCTGTCCTACTTTGAGGAGCGAACGGAGAGCAGACTTCATTTGCTGAGCATGTGGTGGACCCCCGGGTTTTATATTCTCAATCCCCGCCTGTGGGTCTATTTACAATGACCTGTTTAAAATTAAACTCATTCTTAAAGGGGCAGTTCACATATCTGAAAATCATCATTTACTCATACTTACCTTCCAAACCTTTATGAGTTTCGTCCGTTGAACACAAAAGAAGATGGAAACCTGTAACCATTGACTTTCATGGCATTTGTTTTTCCGTATACAAGTCGATGGTTACATGTTTTGAACTTTTTTCAAGATATCTTCTGTGTTCAACATAAAAAAGAAATTCATTAAGGTTTGGAACAACTTGAGGAAGAGATCATTTTTGGGTAAACTATCCTTTTAATGTGAACGCATACTCAGCATTACAGGGGCGAATTTAAAAAAATAGGCGAGGTGAGCGACCGCTAAGGGCCTCAGGAAATCTGGGAGCCCCCAATGAATATCTATAAGTATAAATATATAAACTATAACATTGTCTTCTAACATATTTTGTATGGTGAGAGTTAAACAAATACAATTTTAACGTAATTAAATATCATTTAATAGACAATCTATTATAATATTATTATAATAATGTATTAATAATAAAAATACTAAATAAAAAATCCATCATGGAGTAGTCCAGCAGTCAAATTTATAAATATATACATATTTATTATTTTTAGCTGTAAACTTATTTTAAGAAAACTAATAATTTAAAATATAGAGAGTGCATTAATTTTAAATTTCAAAAAGAGGATTGAGTGATATATATATATATATATATATATATATATATAAAAACAAACAGCAATATAAATATTAAATAACAGTTAAAAGGGTGCATTTCAGGACTTTAAGATGGAATTGCTTAAACCCCACAAATCATTAAATCTGCCCTTGCCTCAGTGGAACAAAAATATCAAGTTATAGTGTAATTCTGTAGGGTTGCGTGATGAATGATTGAAGTATTCTGAAGACATGTTAGTTTTGTGTGAGGTGAAGATTGAGTTTTAGTACTTATTATGAATACTGTGAAAATAATTCATCAGTGTTGGAAATGTTTTAACAAAATCACAACATGGTAGATCAGTTTCAATGACTCCACAGAAACCCATTGCACCTACTTGCTTAGGAGTTGGCAGAAGTCCATGGGCTTGACACTATACTGTATTTCTCTGTTTTCTCTGATAGCGGATGTCTTGTATGGTCAGGAAGGGAGGTCTGGGAGCCTCACAGAAGGAGATAAGATGGTTTGTGTCCTCTGTTCGAACTGGACGAGTGCCAGCGGGTCACAGGACAGAGACAGAGAGCAGTAATTGGTTGTGAATGTCTGGTTTTGTTACGGTCATTGGATTCCCCAATTAACTGACTCATTTCATGACATTTCCCTCAACAAACCCTGCTGTTCTCCCTGATATATGACTGTCACTATATTAGGGGCAAATCTAGAACTTTGACTCAGGATAATGTTTGCTTATTCGAGAATATAAACTGTCTGAGCAGCTTATGCTTGGGTCAGTGACAAGATGAGTTAGAGGAGATATAATTTTTCATAAAATATATTGGATTGCGGAAATGTTAATCAATATAACAAAATCATGTTTAATTATTAAGTAACAACTACATTACTTTAACCTTTAGTATAGACCATTTCAATGAGGTCATGTGATTGGCCCATGAACATTTCCTGCTTGTTATCAAACCATTTCCTAACTGTAACCAGAGTCAATTCAATCATAACTTAATGTTAAAACAGCTACAATAGCATGTGGCTCTTTTTCGATTCTCGAAAACTATAGAAATTAAAAATGTAAAACAGGAAAGACGTTGGGACCCTTGTTTTTGTTTACATCCATCAAAATGGTCTATATACAACAACCTTATTTTTGTTAATCTTTTACAAGGATAATTATCAAAATAAATACATATTTTTGATATAAATTTTATATCAATAATTAAAAAAATTATTATTTATAACATGAAAAAACAAAAACAACATACTTTTATGTATAGAGGAAATACTATTGTACAAAAACAATACTTACTTTTATAGACAAAACTGACATCTGCAGTTTAGCACAGACAAAGACCAACAATAAAAATAAATAAATGTTTACTCTCAAAACAGATGCATGATAACAGAAAAAATTATAATTTCTGATATTAAAAATAAATAAAATAAATTAATAAATAAATTATATTCTCATCCCTGCATGTCAAAAGATAAAATCACATGAATAAACATCAAAGTATCCAGCAGCAGAAATTTTACCAAAACAAATATAAAAATAATAATAAAAAATGAAATTTGAGGTGGACCCTTGTGATTTTTTTTTTGTTCAGAAGAGCCTGAAACAATATAGAGACTGACATTCCATCCCTAAACTTGATTAAGGTTGTGGTTTATGCAGATGGTTTTCCCAAAAAATGTCATTGATGTTAAACATTGTTATTATTATAGATAAACATTATACACACAAAAGTAAATGGAATAACAGTAAACCCTTGATTAATTGCTTGAATTAAAAAAATGAATGTAAAACATATTGAGAGTCGTTAAAAGTAATATTAAAAGTAAATAAGGCTACAGAGGAATTATACAAAACTATGGCCGTATTTTACATTTTATTTTATTTTTATTTAATAAATAATTTTTTGGTGTAACCACCCTTCATTTTTTTCTTTCTTTTTAATGTTATGTATTAAAATGTGTGTCTGCACTGTAGAATGTAAATGTGATTGGAAGTGTGTATATATTGTTTTTGTTCCCCGTTTGAGTTAATAAATTGATAATGTTAAATTAAAAAAAATAATAATAAAAAGAATGTAAACATCAAATCCACGTCAGCATGAGCAAATGGTTTTTTAAACAGAGGCAATCTGTAAGAAATTACAATTATTTCCAAAATAAAAGTAACCGCTATTGCATGCCATAGCTATTTTATATTGACTAAACAATAAATTACAATTTTTATAAATTTGTAATTAATGAAAAAATGTATTACTTTACAGTAATCGTATTATATAATTTACGAATTAAAACACGTCATGCTTATTTTATTTCCAACATCAAATTTTTGTTAATCCAAAAAAAGAGAGACTTTTATCCTGACAAGCTGATTTGTAACCGGAAACTTTGAATGAAACACTACTGAGCAGCACAAATGGATGTGCGACATAGTTTAGAGTAGCTGATCTGACTATAAATATAAATGTATATTAACCGAGTATATTTTATATAAAGCCAGTGGAAATATGTCAGTCCATCACGAATCGGAGCCCAAACTGTACCGCTACAGCAGGACTGTGTGCGGGATCTTCACGCATGTGCTGTGCGCGCTGTTCACCGGCTTCATCACTGCTCTCGCCAGACCCTCGTCCAGTGAGTCCACGATAAAAACAATGAGCAACACTGTTTGTTGCATTATATTTTAAAACAACACTGTGTTTACTGTGGAGCATCTGTCCATGTTTTGTGATGTTATATAAATAAACTAATAACCAGTACTGTGCTAAAATATTTTTAATATTATTTGTAATATACATATTAATACGATGATGAATTATTTTATATTTGTGTTTGTGTATAAAACTTAAATGTTTTAAAACAAAAACAATTATAAATGGTTTATATGTATTCAGAATGTTTATATTTTACAATTATTTTTTAGCAAATGGTGTAATTTTAACAAAAAAATTACTAATAAATATATGAGTGTATAGTATACATTTATTACATTTTATTCAACAACAAAATATAAAATATATATAATATATTTTTTAATTGACAACTTTGCTAAACCTGATAGAATAAGAGTTCAGATATATTTTACATAATACTGTAAAACAGACAATAAATTGTATCAAAAATGTTAAATAACATGTAAATAAAATAAAAAAGAATGTACATAAATTAATTACTGTTAATACAGTGAAATTTAAGTTTTACATATGAGTGTTTTACTTATTAATAACAAATTGATGTGACACTGGCTTATATAGAATCAGACAAAAGGTCAACTTTTTTGGAAAAAGCATCTTCTGAATATCTTCTGATCTATGGTTTTCCATTGATGCTTGTTTTTTAATGGTCAATAGATACAACTACTGAAAATTTAACCGTTTAAAATTTTCAGTAAAGTTGTCCAAATTAGGTTATTAGCTGTGCACACGATCGACTAATCAAAGTAGAGTTTTACATTTACAGGAGGTAAATTTACAAAATGTCTAAGTATCTTGATTTTTCAATAATTTTGACTCCAGGCTCAAATATTTTTACATTTTTATGATTAAAAATGGTAAAATATACTTTAATAATGATAAACAATATATGTGTTAATAAACGAAATTTATTTTGAATGTTCTTATCCATAAATATTTAAAGATTTACACTTGCTGTTTGATTTTCACAGGTCTGTTCTCATGGCATCCATTCTTGATGACTCTTTCTGTGAGTACAGGAAGCTAAACTTCACATAGACCTTTATTTTTAATCAGTTTGAACGCTCCACAAGTAAAAAATTTATTAAGTAATTTTTTTCTCACCTTTTCCAGTTCTCCTTTTTGATGACCGAAGCCATCCTGCTCTTCAACCCTCACTCATCTCCCGTCAGCAAGTTAAAACACAAAACTAAAGGCCGCCTGCATTGGATTCTACAATGTTTGTGTGTTTTCTGTGCCACTTTGGGCCTTTTCGCCATATTTTACAACAAAAGCCTCAACGACAAGCCGCACTTCACGTCCTGGCACGGTTTAATCGGTGTGGTAACGGTCGCGGTCGTCGTGTTTCAGGCGGTCGCTGGACTTCCGCTTCTGTATCCAAAACTAGCCAAAAACTGGACTCTGGCTAAACTGAAGCGATACCACGCCACCTCAGGTTTACTCACCTATCTGCTGGGCAGTTTCAGTTTGTTTCTTGGGCTGTGTTCGACGTGGTTTAGCGGTGCTGTGAGCGGGTACGTGTGGTATCTGGCAGTTCTCTGTCCGGTTGTTTGCGCGCTGGTCGTTATGAGTCAAGTAACGAACGCTTATATGGCGCGAAAACGAATGCAGTATTGAAATACATGGTTAAAATGATATAGAAACTGATGTAGAGCTTTTATTACTTATATTTGTTGTTATATTTTGTATAATACTGATGGCATTAATTCTATTTTTTGTTTTGTCAACTCCAGCAAATCAAATTTATTCAACTACAATTTAATAATACAGTATTTGGTTGAATAACCCTTTTTCTTCCCAATTACAGCAGTTATTTGTTATTCTGACCAATCATTTTATGGGGATAAAAGCTCTAAATGAGAATTTTATTTGTTATTTTGAAGAAACATTATTTGAACTTTACAATATAGCTACATTTGAACAAAATTTGACGAATGCAGTTCAGATTATTTGTTAATGACAGAGATTGTAAACTTTAATAGCCGTGTCAGATTTACAAGTTTCTGAGCTTATGTTTTTTTTAAAGAAATGTTTGGACTGTGTCAGTTTAATGAAATACTCATTGCAAATAGATTGAAGAAGTGCTTTGCAAATACTTCAGCTAAAAATTAAATTGTGTATTTTTACAAGTTTTATATGAAGTATCTTTCAGCTGCATTGATGTTGTATTCTGTCCAAATGTCTTAAGCGATGACTGAAGGGAACAATATTTCTCTTAATTACAGTGATTAGTTGTTGTTTGTTAAATTATTTGTTGATGCTTGTGCACAAAAAGTTTACTTTATGCAAGTGCCATGCTGCCTATTGTAATAAAATATGCAGTTTATAATTTTTTTTTTACTGAAAAATATACATATATTTGAAATATATATTTTTCTCATAATAATAATAATATAAATTATTATATTTATATAGATATAGTTATAGAATATTAATTTTCATATGGTCTACTAAGTCTCTCTATACACACACACAAACTTTTTACAAGTCAACCTAAAAATTGCATAAAACTAATAAAACGATTATTTTGAATACAGGAGGACTCAAGTTTATTTATGTTAAAACAATATTTAATAAATACAATGTCATTTGAGTGTACTCCTCCCCATGCTGGGCACATAAGATGACGTGTGGACACCTCCCGGGACAACGTGTGTTTGTGGGTCCCGACAGCTCATTCGCTCACAAATCATGGTCTTGAACTCACCTATGGGGGCAAAAAAACCCTGCGTCTCTCCGGTAGAGGGATTTTATTTTCTTCTTAAAAAAGGTTGAAAATGTATAAAAATAAAAAAAAGAATGAAAATGAATTACTTTTCAGCGTCATAAATAAATATTTCTGGTAAATTTATACATAGTCGAAAAAGAGAAAACAAAACTAATACATCGGTATGTCATGTTACAAAACAAAGATTCAAATAACAACAAATAAAAGATATAATCACATGTCAAAAAGCACACCATTGTACTTGTATAACAGCGTCTGCAGACTCAGGCCAAAGATTGTGACATGGGCATCTGCCAATCAGAAAGCAGATTGTGGGAGGAGTCAAAATAAAAAGCTCTAATAGGCACAGAGAATGAACAGTGTTATTGGCTGAGGGATTTGTCCAGTCACAGGTCAACCAGCGCGCGTGTACGAGTCAACATTAACACAAACGTATAACATCAAATTTCTTCGAAACGGCTGAATGAACACTTTGGTCATGACTGTGGCCCCAACACGGATGAAACTAAATGGCCGCGCAGATGATGCGAAGCGCAAATGTTGAAAAAAATGGCTAATAGGGTCGCATAACAGTCTACACATTTGTAAGATGATCCCCATGGAGAATGACGCATGACTTTGTTTGCTACGCAATTGAACAAGAACACAGATCCATTTGTCTGCTTTAAGGCTAATATTGAACTAAACGCACTAAACTTACGTCCCTCCACCAAATTTTAAAGGCTAACATGAAAATACATTCGAGTTTTAAGGTTTTCCTTGTAGTATTATTTTTTTCTTAAAGGAAAAGCAAAAAGGTCTCGGCGGTGCTAACGCTAGGCATGGCTTCTGTCATTCTACGATTCGATTGTTACGAATTCCCTCCGTTGCCCAGTCTGCATTTTTCAATGGTCGAAACGACTATGAATAATCATGTAGGACCACCGTTTACAAAAGTAATAGTAGTACTTACAATTATAATAAAAAAGGTCACATATGTTTTTTTTTCTCATTTATCATTCCAGGTGATGCTACAAGGTCTAGCAAACAGCTAACGTATCTCTAAAGTCTTCTCTTACGAACGCAAACAGTCTTTAAAGACAATCACATTTTGAGTTCAGTTCGGTATCCTCTGCGAAGGAACTTAGGCAGGTCCGTGTCCACGCCCTCGCAAGAGACATACATCTAGGGCTCTTCACATTAGCCCTGTGCTCTGGTCCCTTTAGTTAACGAAAAATATATATCACCTTTCTTAACTCCATGCATATTCAGCATTTGGATTTATATAATTTCAGCTTCGTCCAATAGGATTCTTCCATTCGGAATTATGAAGTCCGAAGCAGCAAATCACAACAATCACTGGCCCATAACCTCTATGACATCGTCATCCGAACTGCTCCCACCGTTTTCCGTGAGCGAGGGGTGCGTGTCAGGGCGGCTGAACGCTGTCCCCAGCAGGCTGGAGGACGAGAGGAAGCTGGAGGCGGTGGAGGCAGGGGTTGATGTAGAGGACAAGCCTCTGGGGTGAAGGGAACCTGGAAACAGTGGTTGGGAAAATGGTACCGGGAAGCCAGAAAGCATACTCGCCATGCTTGGGTTCATCATGAAGGGTGGAAGAGAAGAGGAAGTAGAGGATAAGGACGAAGAGGGTACTGAAGATGAAGAAGATGCCAACATTCCAGAGTGGCTGGAGGATGTGGTGTTAGTCGAACAGGTCGAGGAAAGAGTGCTGTTGGACACACCAAGTCCGAGTGGTTCAGTGGGGAACATGGCATGTAGGTCACCCAGAGTCTGTCCAGCTTGCTGCATGAGGTGTGACCTGCTTCCAAGAGAGGGTGGGGTCACGTGACCGAGGGCGCCAAGCAAGGCAGGGTTTAGCGCCATGGAGGGGAACCCAAATCCGCTGTTTAGAGGAAATCCTGGATAACTCCCAGCTGCACTAGTTGACGTTGAGGTCCGTTTGCCACCAGGCTGTTTGGATGTCCGACTTTCCAAAAGCTTTCGTTTCAAACTTTGAACATCCACAGATGATGCGATGTCATTGCTGAGCTGCCGGTGCTGTTCGGGAAGGTGACTTGGGTGTTGGATGGGTCTGTCTGCTCCAGTAGATTCAGGAGTTCCTGAAGATGTTAGATTCTCTGCTGAAGCAACTGCTTCCTTGTTGCTGTGGAATTCTCGGTGGAACCTGGGACTTTCTCGGGAAGAAGGGCGAGGCAGAGCTTCAGGGGTTAAACGTTTTGGCTCTTGAGGAGATGCACGACCATTACTGACAGAATGCAAGGGAGGACCACAGTCCTCTGTGAAAAAGAAAGATATTTCTTGGTTAATATTTTTAAATGTGTAGATCAGAGGTCAACAAGTTCGATGTCCTGCAGAGTTTGGTTCCAACCCTAATCAAACACACCTGAAGAAGCTAATCAAGGTATCTTGGAGTTGGAGTTAAAAATTAGCAGGATACCAACTGTCCAGGACCAAGTTTGGTGATGCAGGGTGTAAACCAGGGGTGTCCAAACTTGGTCCTGAAGGGCCGTTGTCTTGCAGAGTTTAGCTCCAACCCTAACCAAACACACCTGAACCAGCTAATCAAGCTCTTACTAGATATACTAGAAAGTTCCTGGCAGGTGTGTTAAAGAAAATTGGAGCTAAACTCAGCAGGACTCCGGCCCTACAGGACCGAGTTTGGACACCCCTGGTGTAGACTAACAGACAGTTGTGGAATAGTAACCAGATGATTTTCAAATTTCATTAACACCCTATGGGTATTGGATCAATATATCTTCGTCATATCTTCGACATCCTACACAAAGTCTGGTACAGGACAAGTTTTGAATTGTGTAGGTGTGGAAGGCAGAATATTGATGAGACTGTGGGAAGTGCGAAAATTCATAAATTGAGGAAGAAAATAAGTTAATTTAGTTGAAGTTGGTAAGTGTCCTTCAAGGAAAGCACCTTCCTTTGGCCTCTAAGTGAAACAGTTCCTCTGGTGCAAAAGCCCCTATGGAGGAAAGAGTTTTGCAGGAGCAAATCTAAAATTATCAACCCACACAGACCACTAGGTCACAGCAGCTCAAAAAAAGTGTTGGAATTGTTGGAAAAGTTGGAATTTCTAGAACTTTCTATTTGGAAGAAACATATATATTCCCCATCTTTTCAAGCAAAGGAACCTACAATTTTCCCCACATACAACTTTAAATGAAATACAACACTTAGACTTTAAGAACTTAAATGATGTCAATTTTCAAGTAACTGGCAAACCTCTTGAAGCTGTGGCTCCTCCTTCAGGTGGTCTTGGCTTTCCAGAGCGGATGGCAAATATCCTCCCATCATTAGTCCTGATGTAAGTGCCTGCAAGCAAAAACAGAATAACAAGTAAATAAACATTACCAACACCTAAAGAACAGTAAACACTTAACAGTTTTATACCACTGGAGTACCTTTGGATCCTCTGATAACATGAATACTCTCCCCTGCACCGATTCGGGCTTGGACGTCTGTGCTGCTGTTGGAGCCTGGGATCACAATATCTGCAAAGCAAAAACAAGAAACTATCAAATAAACACTCTATAAACTTTGAACTCATTAAGAATCGAAAGATCTGTACCAGTGGTTGTGACGACTCGCTGTACGTAAACACCGGCTTTTTGCAGATAGTTGACAGGGAATCCTGTGCTTGAACTAGGGACGCCCATGGGTACCTGTCGGGGCATCATGGGAATTGGTGTGGACTGAACTGGCCTCACACTTGCAACTGGTTTCTCTTCTAAATGAGGAGGAGGGCGCCTGAACGATAGGTTAGGATGAGCAAACACTTTTACATCATTTACGACACAAAGGCTAAATGTTAGGGTTTTCTGTGAAGGACTCACCAGTTCCTCTGGCTAAAGGCTGGGATATTGGTGAGTCTCTGGTCACTAGCTGGGTAGTAATGTGCGTAAGAGGGCCTTTGGTACGGCACAGATGCCCTCTTCTCATCTTCATAACTTTTCTTGGCTGCTCTCTTTTCCGCTTTGGTCAGTTTCATTTCCTTGCGGTCCATTAAAAGGGACTCATGATGGAAAGGCGGCTGGTGTTAAAAACAGACAGATAGTAGCATAGTAGCAAACATTAGTGTGATCTAATAAATATACATGAGCTAAGCTTTCACAATTTAGAATGTCAAGTAAAATATTTAAATATGAGAAAATTTCAGAGTCAGTTTGCAACGAACTTTAGGAAATCACAACTAGCAAGATTCTGACAAGTTAAGAAGCCACTGTAAAAATGTCCTGACTCAAATTTATAAGCGGTCATGATTTGGAAAAGTAGTATTTAAAAACTTTCTGCTGGTACAGAATAATCACCTTGGTTAAGAGGTGTGGGTACATCACACAGGCTTGCTGAATGACCGTCTCCATTTCATTATTAGGCTGCAGCTCTGCGGGATCAGGC